ATTTAAACCTATAGTAAAAATACTCTCAAAAGCTTCTCTGCAGAATAAGTGGTAGTTGAGGGCTCAGTACTACATAAAACATTTGTACTATACCTTCTAATGCTTGGGGAACAATTTGGACGATGCATCAATTAGTAGTTAAGAAACTAAAGATAAGGTAAAAGACTATGAAATGTCATCCTCTAGGATCAACACAGCCATTGCAGTCATAAATGTAAAATTTGTGTTCAAAAAGAAACAAAAAAACACACATACACAGCTTGGTGGTAGACTACTGGCCTAATGATAGTAATACCCTGAGTTCACTCCCAAGTGTAGTGATATTTCATTTTTATTTTAATAAGTAAAGATCAAAGAGTAAAACAATCACACTGGTCAGCCTTACAGACAAGGCAGTGATGACACACACCTTTAATCCCAGTAGATACACTAGTTACTATCGAAACCAGGCAGTAGAGGTGCATGCCTTTAATCCCTATAATCCTAGAGAGGATTATAAAATGGGAAGAGACAACTCTCATTCTCAGTCTCATTCTGAGATTCCTAGAAGCAGGATCATCATTTCAGACTGAGATAGAGGCTGTTTTGCTTTTCTGACTTTCAGACTGAACTCCAATTTCTGTCTCAGGGTTTTTATTAATTGTGCTACACCTGAGATTAGAAATCCTTGACAAAAAAAAATTTAGAAACTATATAGATATATGGAAATTTCAAAACACAACCTGAACAACAGGAGGTCAAAGAAGATTTCAAGAGAGAAATTAAAATACTTCTTAAAACTGGGTGATGGTAGTGCATGCCTTTAATCCCAGCACTTGGGAGGCAGAGGCAGGTAGATCTCTGTGAGTTCAAGGCCAGCCTGGTCTACAGAGGAAGTACTAGGACAGCCAGAGCTACACGGAGAAACCCTGTCTCAAACAACAAAACAAAACAAAAAATACTTCTTGAAACAAATAAAAATAAAGACACGGATGTCTATGAGATATAGAAAAAGCAGTATTAAGAGGGAGGGCTTGCTGTGAACCACAAACATTATACAGTAAATGTAGAACTGAGAGATCACTATAAAAACACACAGGAGTAGTGAAGAACCTTATTTACAAAGCTTTGGGAACACCTGACCTTTAGATAATCACTATCAATTCTGTAGTGATGTAGATGTAGCAAATTCTGTCTATTTGCTACTTTCATTGGCCAAATAAAGAAACTGCCTTGGCCTTTTGATAGGCCAGCCCTTAGGTGGATGGAGTAGACAGAACAAAATTCTGGGAGAAAGAAAGCAGAGTAAGGCAGACAACATGAAGCTCCAGCCCGAGATGGACGTTGGTTAGAATCTTTTTGGTAAGCCACAACCCCGTGGTGATACACAGATTACTAGATGTGGCTCAAAGCAAGATGTGAGAGTTAGCCAAGAGGAGGCTAGAACTAATGGGCCAGGCAGTGTTTTTATTATAATATTTTCGTATTTTTATTTCGTATAATTATTTCGGGTAAAGCTAGCCAGGAGGCGGGAAGTGGCCCACTGCTCCTTTTACAACACTATAGAAATCTTGGGAAGCCATGACTCTTTTTCCTTCCATACTGGGATTCAGGCTGAAGTATCCCAGCAGTGTACAAATCATTCGTTGAGATAACTTTTTCCTGTACAGGCAACTGGATGACCTTCTCTCACACTGTGGGGCCCTGGTGTAAAGCATTCACTCAGCCAAACCTTTGTTCTCACAGTCAAATCAAAAAAGCTAGTTCCCCACAATTATCCTTATTGACAGGACTTTCACAAAGAAAGGAGCCCTGAACAGGAGTGATAAAATGTCTGCTCTTACTGATAAATAGGTCTGGGAGACCCTGAATTCTCACCCAGCCAACTCAAGAGAGTATAACCTACTGGCCTTTGTTCTACCCTAACAAGCTATTAATATTCTGTACTTACTTTTACCTTTCATTTGAAACAAGGTCTTAGTCTAGGAAATTAACTGTTTGTACATTTACCCTTAAAATATACAGGAGAAAAGATTGGATAACTAAGTCAACCTTAGAGAAAGAAATTTTATCTCATCTGGGTGCCAACAGATACAGTAGCCTGATGCTTAGCCTGGGAGAAGGGGGTGCGCCAAGCTCCATCCTAATCCTCCTGGTATCTGCCGGGGAGCTTCACAGTTATGCCCCTTCTGAGATATAAGGCACCTACCTTGTCAGTCTTTTTATCCATCCTGTTAGCCCTAAGAAATGCATGCTTGGGCCGGGCCGTGGTAGTGTACACCATACACCTTTAATCCCAGCACTCGGGAGGCAGAGGCAGGTGAATCTCTGTGAGTTTGAGGCCAGCCTGGTCTACAAGAGCTAGTTCCAGGACAGCTAGGACTGTTACACATGGAAACCCTTTCTCAAAAAAAAGGAAGAAGAAGAAAAAGAAAAGAAAACAAAAGAAAAGAAAAGCATGATTGGTACCATTGTTATCATCTATATAACTGCTAACTATGTCTGTAAAGAGGAACACTGAGGAGGAACATTGAAAGGGAAACATCAAGAGAACATAGAAAGAATAAATGGAAAAAAAAGAATAAATGGGACATGATAAAATGACTCATGTGAGCTAATTTATTTTGTTTACCCTCAGACCTTATTAGTCAGTTTCAACTGCTATAGCAATACTTCTGAAACCTGAGAGGTTTAGTGGGGGCTTATCACCAACAGAAACCTCAATAAAGGCTGTAGTAACCAAAGCCAATAAAATACAGAAAAATCTATTAAAAAATTAGAAAGAATGCAAATAAATAACTAACCATCCACTTTAATTATATGAAAAATAATAAATCAAACCCCAAATTAGCACAAGGAAGCACAATTAGTATCAGAGCATAAATAAAATAAGGATTAAAGTGGAAAGAGTTGGCTCTTAAAAAACAAAACAAGGGGATAGTATGGTGGCTTAGCAGTTGGAAGCACTGGCAACTTTTCCAGAGGTCCTGAGTTCAATTACCAGATACTATAAGGTGGCTCATAACCATCTATAATGAGATCTGGTGCCCTCTTCTGGCATGCAGGTATACATGCAGAAGGAACACTGTAAATAAAAAAGAAAAGAAAAAGAAAAGAAAATGAACCAAACCTTAGGAAGAGAGCATTCAAATACAATCAGAAGCAAAAGCAATACAACTCACATCACAAAAGTACAATGGATCATTAAAATTAGGAACAAATACATGCCAACAAATTTGATAATCTAGAATAAATGAACCAATTTGTAGACATGTACACCCCTGCAAGATGGAATCATGAAAACCAGAAAAGAACATATTAGTAGAGATTGAATTACTAACAAATAGTCTACCATCAAAGGAAAGCCCAGGATCAGATGGTTGCACTGCTGTATTCTATGAAACAATTCACCAGTTCATCTCATTATTTCAAAAAGTAGGAAAGAAAGAGATCATTGCAAAGACATTATTACAACAGGTCCCCAAACCTTAGCAGGCCCCCAGATCTTAGTACAATTACCTCCCTGATGGAAGTACCACTCAGGCCATAAAACTAAGAACATAGACAGTACCTCCTGCCAAAACAAAAACAAAGTCCTAATCCATCAAAGTCCATAGTTCTGGGAAAGTCTCTCAATGTACTAACTTTGCTTTTTGGCGTCTGTAGATCTGCTTCTGGATAACTGCTCTTGTTAACTGAAGTATATCAACCCAGATAATGTGCCTTTTCTGCTTAAATGCTCAGCCTGAGAAAGGTGTAACACTGGAATCCTAAAGTCAGATGTAGTCGCTGGCTGGGTAATAAAGAACTTCTATTGGGTTTAAACCCAGTCTTCTTTGATGGAAACCCTCCAACATTTCTGGAGGTTCTCTTGAGATCCTCAGAGACCAGACCTGAAGACATCAGGGATCTCAGAGCCCCTCAGAGAGAGGAAGAATGTGGTGATCAAGGGGCTCCTACGGTATGCATAACCTGAGGTGTTCAGGGCCCCATGACACCCCTTGAGCAATCACTACCTAAAAACTCAGAGGTGTCTGACATCTCCACCCCAAAAAGGAAACAAATTAGAAAGTCATCTGGTCTGTCAAGAGGGGAGGGAAGAGAGAGAGGGGGGGGGGGAGGGAGGGAGGGAGGGAGAGAGAGAGAAAGAGACAGAGAATATGTGTTTTTATGTTTCTGTCAGTTTTGTTTCCCTGTACTGATCAGTGGCTTCCTCTGGTATGAGATCCCCCCCTCCTTGCTTAAGACCTTTACCCTCTTATTTGGGATCTAAATCCTTTTGGCTCTGCCAGATCATTCAAGGAACAGCCCTCCCCCCCGTGACTCTTCAAGAATTCACTTGCTTCATTGCTTAAGTCCTGCTCATGATCTTGGGTCATCCCTGGTTAGTCCCAGGACCTATGTGGAGTCCAGGAGGAGCTGAGCCTCTCCTCCAGAGTCCTCTGTCATCTAAGCAGGATGCATACAAGGAGGGGGAAGTAGTTCCTGAGATGTGTATTATCTCCACTCCCCTGCCTAAGCAGTCCCAGGGAAAAGGGAAAAAGCATGTTGCACTCCTTCCTCTTTCATGCTTTATGCCCCCCCTTTAACCAATGCTCTGTATAATTATAAAACTCAAAACCGACCATTCTCTGAAAAAAGTAGAAAAACTGCCCCTCAGCTGAACAGGGGTAATCGCTACTGGACAATGCAGTCTGGACAGAATGAATTTTCCCTTCTGTCCAGCACTGACCAAAGAAAGAGACTTTATATAATTTCACTATGTTCTTGTTAGGATTTAAGTCAGTCAACTGCTAAAAAGATTTCCTTTGTCACCCAGTCAGCTGCAGATATTAGAAAAAAGTTAAAAAAAAAATTAGAGGTATGAATAGGTCTCAGTTGTTGGAGGTAGCCCAAAGAGTGCTGAACAAAAGAAAACTAATTAGGACAAGATCTTTTACATAAACTGGAAGGCACCATCACCTTCTCTGATGATGAGACACAGTTACTTTCAGATACCCAGCAAAATTTTGGTGACTTACCTGCTTTTGGAACAGTATCTCCTAGCTGAAAGTTCTGTCTCCAATCAAAAGCGCCTTTAATCCCAGAGCTCAGGAGGCAGTCTACAGAGTGAGTTCCAGGACATGCTCCAAAGTTACACAGAGAAACTCTGTCTCGAAAAACAAACAAAAACAAAAACAAAAACAAAAACAAAACTATCTCTCAGAATACAACAAAGATTTCTGGAAGTATGGGCAGAAACCAACCTTCCAAGATTGATCAATATCAAATTCCTGTAATTGCTCAACTAACCAGTTCAGCTACCTCCATCCAGATTTAACAATACCCAGTGATTCTGGTAACAAAAAAAGAAATTGCAGTCCATATTGCCTGCTTTGATGAGACAGACATCCTGATGTCCTGATAGTCACATTGGAATACACCTCTCCTGCCTAGGACCTCTGATTTTCATGAATGTGAGTCCTCGAGAGAAACAGGTATACACTGTCTTGGACCTGAAAGATGCATTCTTCAGCTTCCCATTTCTGGAGATCAGTTAACTCATATATACTTTCATATGAACAGACCCAGATGGAGGTTACAGTGGGCAGTGTACCTGAACTTCATTGCCCTTGTCCCAAGGACTTAAAGACACTCAATGCTCATTTCCTTCCCTTCCATCAGGGGTTTCTAGGGACCTGATGTATGATTAATAAAAACTCAGAGGCAGATATTGGAGTTCAACCTGAAGACCAGAAAAGCAAAGCAACCAGTCACTGGCTCTTACCTCGACCTCAGTCCAAAATGGTGATCCTGCCTCCAGGAATCTCAGAATGAGATTGAGAGCTGTTGTTTCCTGTTTTATAATTCTTTCTAGGGATGGGATTAAAGGTGTACACCATTGGGATTAAAAGCATGCACTGCCCTGTTTCTATGGCAACTAGTGTGGCTACTGGGATTAAAGGTGTGTGTTACCACTGCCTGGTCTTTAAGGCTGAGCAGTGGGGCTGTTTTACTTTCTGATCTTCAGGAAAGCTTTATTTATTAAAATAAAAAAGAAATTCCACTACAAAGACCATACTCTTAAGATATGTAAATGACCTCCTCCTACCTTCTAAAAGTAAAATAAATTATTAAAGGGCCACTGAGGGACTGTTGCAAGAGTTATAGACCTTGGGCCACAGAATACTGGTTAAGATAGCTCAACTTTGTACATCAGAGGCTACCTGTCTAGACATTGAGCTGAGGAGAGGCAAAAAGAGTCTGTCTCAAGACTAGGATTGCTGTCTTCCTTCAGATCCCAACTACAAAGACTAAGAGACAAGTTTGAGAGCTCCTAGATACAGCTGGGTTTTGATGCATCTGGATAATGGGAGTTTATAGAAATAGTAAGCCTTCTATATACATCAGCATAAAGGGAGAGCCCCTGATTAATCTGAACTGAGACTAAATACAAGAAATCTCAGGATTTCAAAACAGCTCTGACTTCAGCTCCTTCCCTAGCACTTCCTGTTATCTCAAAAACCTTTTCATCTGTTTGCCTGTTTAAAAAAAAAGAGGAGAGAGAGAGACTACAAAAAGCTTTTTGGGAGGAGGTGTTCAAGACAGGGCTTCTCTATGTAGCCCTGGCTGTCCTAGAACTCACTCTGTAGACCAGGCTGACCTTGAACTCAGAGGTCCACCTGCCTCTGCCTCCCAAGTGCTGGTAGTTAAAGGCATGTACCACCACTGCCCAGCACCAAAAAGGTTTTTTTAACTCAAACTTTGGGGTCATGGAAATACCCTGTGATATAACTGTTCAAACGATTGAACCATGCAGCCACAGGATGGCCCACCTATCTAAGAGGTATGGTGCTTCTGCGGGAAGGTTTATAGCTAGTAGCCTCATAGACTATTTACCTGGGTGCGGAAGTGCGTTCAGCCCCTTCTCTCCTCCCCACTGGTTCCTATTTGGCTCCTTAGGACTGTTTTGGATCTCATCTCTATCTGCTGTTCAAGCAGAGAATCCTGGTTTGTAAGTTTTCCCCCTAAATAAATAACTCTCTATCTTTCAGTTCTGAGCCAATGTGAGATTTCTTTTAGGCATCCACATGGAATTATACTCCACACATCTCGGGAGGATTGCCGAGCCGATTCACTGAGCTGATTCACTGCTGGAATCCCCTCAAAATCACCACAACGGAGCGCCCCCACAGTGGTGTTTGCAGCGCTTAAGCAGCCAAAGCACAGGCAGCTGCACTGTTTACCAACAGCTTCTTTGTTGCTGGACTGCGGGCTGGTTTGCGGCTTCTGGGCTTCTGTTCTCTGCGCCTGGACTCTGGTTTTACTTGCTCCATGTATGGAATTGATTTGATTACATCTAACCTCTTGAGCGACCCATTTTTCCCCAGTTTTTTAACAAGTACCAAGGTAGATTTTAACACAGGGTCTGTTGTGTCACCGTGGCATTGATTCTAGTCACGCCTAAGAAACAGCATCATCTGCTGGTTAACAGGTAAAATGGCAGATTTCGTTTCTGATGGGACTTTTGCTGCAGTTTTTCGCTACCACAATGGAAAGCATTACACAAGGCCTATGTGACTATGGAGGTACCTCAATTTACTGGTTATTAGGTTTCAGTTTTCTTCTCCATATATTAAGGAAGAATATGGCACTAGTTGACAGGATTAATATAACTGAAAATCAGAGATTATCTGAACCAGTGGATACAACAATAGGCAAAATTGACTCCATATCTAAGGCTACTAGGAAGTTACCTGAAAGGTAACTGTTGAATTTCATGTTCGGAAGTTATCACAAAGTTTTGATAGGATAACAGACAGAATGTACCTCCAGGATGGCAATCTACACGATATCCAGAAAAGATCAAGAAGATGTTATCTTTGAAGGGAAACCTGGGAATCACAGGTGCAGAATAGGGACCAGAAAATTGATATTTTAGGGAAATCACTAGAAATATATACAGGTCAGGAAAGTCAGGCTTTATGAGAGACAATGATAAAAAGATTTGAAATGACTGAGGAAATTATTTGAGCTAGTGAGCAGGATAAAAAGTCACAAGGACAGGATGCAACCTCACCAATGGCAGTCAGAACTTGCTTATCCAGGGTTTTAGCATCATACCCTGTAATTTACTCTGACAAATCATCAACTTCTAAAGGCTCAAAGGGAGTCAAAGGTAGATGGATGCCAATAGGAATGAATGATCTAAAAGAAATTAAGCAAGCCATCATTACTTATGGCTTATACTCTGCATTTGTTAAGGAAATGATAAGGACTTGGGCTTCTAATGTCAGAGATACCCCCCATGATTTCTCTCAGTTACTGTCAGTGGTATTGGATGATAGACCTTCCTTGATATTTGGAGTTTATTTCAGAGAAGAATCCAAACATATGAAACAACAAGGAAGAGCAAAAAGTGTGGAGGCTTCTCAGGATCAAATTCTTGGCGTAGGAACATATGCTGATCCACAGGTCCAAGCTCTTTACGGCAAAGAAGTATTGTTCCTATGCCACAAAACAACACACAAACAGAAGGAATTCCTATGCCATGATGCTACTGCTAGTCTAATGAAAACATGCAAGTCTAGATCAGTATTTTATACCCACAATACCCCAAGACAAGGCTGAAGACCTCCGAGGAAGACCAATGTTGGCTGTCTAATACCTATTTGACCCAGAATCAAAATCTACTCCTGGCTCACACTCCAGTCTACTTTGAAGAACTCGCCACCATCAATCCTGCTACCCGCTTGCCTGGTGATGACCTGCAGGTGCTCATCCATGCATGACTCATGAGATGAAAGATGAAATCAGGTACCTGGGAGCTGCAGTAGTTACTTTAACTGAAACGATCTGGGCCCCAGCCAGGTTCCTCAGCTCAGAGAGCAGAATGATTGATCTGACCCAGGCTCTCAGATGGGAAAAGGAAAGTTCACTAACATATAAATGGAGAGTCAGCATGCTTCTACTACTGAGCATGTCCACGATGTGACTGACAGAGAAAGAGGGCTTCTCACCACTGAGAGAAAGGACATAAAAAAAAAGAACAAAAATGACCCTTCTAAAGTCTATTTGACTTCTCCTACAAATTGCTACCCTCCCCTGCTCCACTCTGAGGACATAAAAAAATGACTACTCTGAGGCAAGAGATAACTTGACCACTGGCTTGGCTTCCTCACAAATGACCCTAAGACCAGTGGGACCTATTGAATATCTGAGGACATACCCTTACCTGATGTTGTTGGAGACTCCATAGTACAACCTGTGGGAGCCCACATGTGTCTCAGTTTATATCTGGAGTCAATTCTGACTTAAAAGTCATTTGAGTTCAAGCTTGCCTGCTCTGCCTGCATCCTTGAGGGCTGTGAGAAAATTCTGATTAAGCCCATGAGAGAAAGCATTTTGCCCATGAGAAAAAACACATTATCTATTAAGAAGTAGAAAACAGAAACTGCTTGCTGCTAGGAGAATTCACAGGAGTGATATGAACCTGCTCATGTTTTCTCCCAAGGACAGTGCAGGGAGGTGGTTAGCTGACTAGACTGCTCTTTGTTCTGCCTTCTGCCCTTAACCTGTAAAAAAGCAAGTTCTGAAATGAACTCTAGGCTCTTTTGCTGTTTTGACATCACCAAGCAGACCTCCTGGTTCTATTCTGTGTTTTCTGTCTCAGTTTCTTTCATCTGACATTTCATTACACCCAATCCAGGAAACCTAGCTGACTTTGTTAGAGCAGGTTCCTACAATAATCAATAGTAAACAAAGAAAAATGGACAACTCAAACCTACAGGTTCGTGGAGGTCACCAGAGGGAAAGATCATTATCACAGAAATAGCTGGCAGGACTCTAGGAACTGACTTTCACCAGGATACTCATCTGGGGTCCACAAAACTTTCTGCGTTGCTCAGACCAAGGTATGTTATACCTAGACTGCACAGCCTGGTTCAAAATGCCAGGTTTTTGTCCAAGTAAATCCAAAACACAGAATGTGTACCCAGGAAGGGTCTGAATGAGAGACCAGCACCACAGAGAACTCTGGGAAAACTGACTTCACCAAGATCTGGCCTTCCACGGGAGGATACAAGTATTTGTTAGCTTTATAGGTAACATTTCTAAGTGGTTGGAAGCATTCACCACCTGGACTGAAACTGTTAAAACAGTAGCTAAAAA